GAGTAGAGTAGAGTAGAGTAGAGTAGAAGTAGAATAGAATAGAATAGAATAGAATAGAATAGAATAGAATAGAACAGAACAGAACAGAACAGAACAGAACAGAACAGAATAATAGAAAATAGGAACAGGAACAGGAACAGGAACAGGAACAGGAATTGGAATAGGGGAGAGAAAGGCACCTTGGAGATTTTCTAGTCCAGCACCCTGCTCAAACAAGAGAACCGTGCTATACCATATCAGACAAGTGACTGTCCATCTCTTCTTAAAAACTCCAGTGATGGAGCACCCACAATTTCTGGAGGCAAGCTATTCCACTGGTTAATTGTCCTCACTGTTAGGAAGTTTCCCCTTAATTCCAGCTTGCTTCTCTTAATTCCAACCATTATTTCTTGTCCTGCCCTCTGGTGCCCCTCAAATACTGGAATACTGCTATAATGTCACCCCTAATTCTACTTTTCTTTAAGCACTAACCAGACCCGAAACCTGCACCCGTTCTTCATATGGTTTACTCTCCAGGCCTTTTATTAGTGCCACTTTACAAAACCCTAGTAAGACTGCAACCGATTTTGTAACTGGAATACTGCAACCAATTTTGTAACCATACTACAAAAATGGTGTTGAGACTTTGGGAAAAGTTCAGAGAAGAGCAACTAATATTTCACTTGATCTTGATTCTATGCCTCTGTTTATACAACCCAGGATTGTATTAGCTTTTTTGTCTGCTGCTGCACATTGCTGGCTCATATTCAAATGATCATCCATTAGGACTCCAAGATCTCTCTCACAGTTACTGTTTTTGAGCCAGGTCTCTCCTAATCTGTACTTATATCTTTGATTTTTCCTGCCTAAATGTAAGCTTGGCTTTTCTCCACATTAAAATTCATTTTGTTGGCTAGGGCCCATTGTTCAATATGTTCAAACATGAAACAGAATGAGCAATGCTCTACATGATCTCTAGTAAAGCCAGGATTCATGCTTTCCAAATGCCATAAAAAAGCTTTGCTGGTGGTGTTAATGATTTTCTTTCCTCTTGAATCCTAGCACCAACTCTTAAATGCATGGCCTTGTCTTATTTTGGATAGGCATTTAAACCTTACTCATAGGTCTGCACCCTTTTCTGAGCAAGCCCTCTTCTTAGGAAACTATGTTGATGCTGCATTATAAACACCTTTCTTCCTTTCCTTTGTGTATGATTATATAAATATGGCTTGTAACAGCATCATGAACTGTGGCAGAGAGTAGGGGTAGTATTACACTACACTTGTTTACAACTAACTTAGTATTCAGAAGCAAATTAAAGGATTAGGTTTAATAGTATGAGGCATTTCACTTCAAAAGTGTAAAAGAACCAAAAGTGATCAAACTAACCAGGAGGAAAAGGGACATCTGCGTTTTAAAAAAGGAAGCATTTTTTAAAAAATAGATTTTTAATAATAATAAAATAATCCAAGACAAGCATTTAAAACATGTGTTGGGTTTTCTTCACAGCCCAAATAAGTAAATCCTCTTGTAGATTCCAAGGCTTCAGATCTTTGGAGATAAAGAGATCTCTTACCACCAAGGAAAGCATAGTTATTAATCAGAAGAACTACATGGAAATAAGTTTAAATTACCACTTTTCCAACAATAATTTTCTGCCTTCATTAGCTATGCAAAACACACATCAATTAGTCTTCTAAAAATGTTAAAGGTAACATTGCAGCATACTTTCATGACTAATCTTTGGCATAATCTTTGGTGCACACAACAGGCCAAGCATATTCTGTTTGGAAAAAAGTAAGATGATAGTCTTGATCAAAACAGTAACCCAGGTATACCCAGATATACTAGCTACAGATATACTACCAGATATCTCTGGTCCACCATGGATTATAATTCCTATTCCCCATGCCATTTAATTACTGATAGAATGTTTAGCCCATCATTTGGCAGTATTGATACCGCAGCTTCAAAAATAATGCATGCGACTTCCGGGTTGCTGTTTGCCGCTGCCAGACGTTCCTTTGGGATCGTCAGCTTCCATCGCCTGTTAGAGCCGCCTTCACAACGGAATGGCGGCTCGAAAAAACTCCGTTTCCATGAGGAAACGGAGATAGAGCCGGCAGGGGTGGGTAGAACTCTCTGCGGAGTCCCAAAAGTTTTTTTTTTACTTTTGGGACGGAGCGGATGAGATGCCCCGTATCCCCAGCCGCCGCTCCGGGCTTTGGGAGACCTCTGCTGATGCAGAGCCAGGCGTCAAAAGCAAGCCTGCAAATTTAACAGACTACTCAAAGAAAATGTGAGCTGGACCTGTAATATTGAACTGCAAGTATTTTACTGATTTTTTTTTTTTTAAATTACTTAAGAGAGAGGAGGAAAAGAAAGAGGAAAATAAAAAAAGAAGCCTTTTAAAATGGCGTTGGCTGGAGGAGAGGCTGAAAGGGAAGTCTTTCCGTTTTCTATTACTACAATGTAGCGGAATAAATACCACTGGCTACATTTGTAGACAAAACTTTGCTCCTGTGTCTTTTTCTCTTTTTTTTCCCTTGGAGACCTGATATTGTTGTTGATTGGAAAGAAGTCCCTTTTTTTTTTTTTTCTTGCTTTTTTTTTAACAAAGCCTGCCTGGGCGGAAACATGGCACTGAGACTCATAAAGTCAGATAAACAAGAAGGGGGGGATCCCCCCACCAACAACTTAAAGGAACAAGTCTTAATTCTTCAGTCTCAGAAACCTGACTTTAATATAATAGAATTTTTTATAGAGGAGATTGAAAGAAGGGAGGAGATTGTGAATCAGCAATTTGAAAAATTTAAGCAGGAAATTAAAGAATTGGTGAAATCTAAGTTTGATTTTTTGGAGAAAAAACTCTCAAAAGTGGTTAATGGTTTTACAGGATTTATGAAACAGTTGGACACAAATACTATTGTACTAGAGTCTAAAATGGAAGAAATTCAAGATAAATTGGACAATAGAATTCAAAAAATTGAAAATGATTTGACAAACACTCAGGATAATAGCTTAGAAGAAAAACCTAAAATGGATGCTGATCAAAAGTATGGTAATGCAGAAAATCTGCAACAGAAGATTGAAAAAGAGATGTTAATGGTACAATATAATTTTACAGAATATGCGATAAGATTAAGAGGTTTGCAGGAAAATAATAGAGATGATTTAAGGAAAATATCTTCTGAATTTCTAGCTGGGATTCTAAAGGTTCAACCTGACGAAGTGTTTTGTAGGATCGACAGAGTTTATCGAATCAACTCCTGGATTGCTAAGCAAAGGCAATGGCCTAGAGATGTGGTGATTTATTTTACAGATAAGGAGATTAGGAATAATATCGTTCAAAACTCCTTCAATTCTAATTTGCAATTGTATGGAAGAAAGATTTGGATTTACAAGGAACTCCCACCTAAGATATTGATGGAAAGGAAGAAATTTGGTTTTCTGGTGAATGAGTTAAAAAAGAGAAATATCTCCTACAGGTGGGACGCCCCAGTGGGTATTATATTTAGATACCAAGGAGAAAGATATCAGCTAAATACTGTTGAAAGAGCGGAAGAATTTTATCAAAATAGGTTGAAAATGAACTTAACATCTCCAGGTATAATACAGGATAAGCAGAAGGAGCCGGAAATAAAGGTAAAATATCGAATTACAGAGACTGTACCAGATGAATTGCCTTTGGATTTATTGGATACCCCAGCTGGACTATCTACAAATTTGAGAGAAGAGGCATCTAATCTTAATGTGATGACTTATCAAGGCAAGGATAAACATGGAAACCAATTAGGGGATATATAAGGGATAAAAAAGAAATATGAGATACAAAAGCAAAACCAACAAGACCAATCTACAAAGCAGAATAAAAACCGACCAGATGATACACACTTTACAGAAAGGGAACCAGGATGGAAACCAAACCCACAAAAAGAAAAGAAAAAAAGAAATAGGTGGCATAAAAACAGAAATTTCTAATCAGGCAACAGTGAAGCCAGTGATTTTAAAATATGAACGATTATGTGTAAACACAGAAGAGGCGACGTATTGGTTAATATCATCCTGAGGTTTGTGGCAGATCTCTGCATGGCCGTAATCTGGGGACGTGAAACGAGCCTTAAACTGATGGATTTGAATTATCCATTTTGGAATTTCTTTTTGTGTTGATAATATTATATTATCTTGAATCACAAGGCAAGAGAATTATGCTGGGGCATGCAGAAGATCGGGTTGTTACCCACTACGATGATGGGAATTAATAATCCTGATGAAACCCACAATTATTACTATATGGAATATAATTATAATGTCACTCGGGTGGTTGTTTTTACTTTTATACATATAAGAAGATATTTACTACTGATGGGGGCAGATATGATTGAAGATCCTGAATAAACTGTTGCACCAATAAGCTATGTTACCCGATTATGGATGTTGGTTCTACCAATCCAGTGGAAAGACCTCAAAGAAGATACTATATGGATTATAAATTTAAAGTCATTGTCTTTTCTTTTTTTTTATTTAGATATAATGGAAAATATAGACATATATTTTTAAGAAGTGTGGGCAGTGAATCAAAGATGTTAAGAAATGTTGTCTATGGCAATTTTGTATGATAGTGGGTGAATAAGCTATTTAGTAGATTGATTAGTCTAAGAAAAGGGATTTTTAAGTGTTATATTTAGGGGAGTGGAGGAAATGGATAGAGTGGAATAAATGTTAAACTAGATTTTATGGGGAAGGCCGCTTTGGAATGTTATAGTAATATATATAGAAGATTAAATGTTAAAGTAGGACTTATCGTATAGTTTTAAAGTGGAGAAGTTATTTTATAATGTCATAGTATAATGTCTTTTTTTTTTTCCTTTCTTTTCTCTTTTTTGATATGTATGGATAAAGGGGGATGTTATAATATTAATAATATTTTTAGTAAGTAAAGGTCAATATCTAGAGGAGGGAGTAAGTAATCTGTTATGAATTAGGTTTTTTTTTTGTTATGAAGAAGTCACAGGGGGGGATGGGTGGGGAGGGGGGGTTAGGGAGGGAGAGGGAGAGGGGGGGAAAAGGGGGGGAAAATTTGTATTTGAAAACTTTTTCAATAAAAAAAAAAATAATGCATGCAACATTCAACTCTCTAATTTAATCTTAAATAGGAACATTGAAACAATGTTTCATTATGAATTTGGCAGAATTAAGACTCTAAGGAAAAGATTTCTACAAACTAAACCTGTCCATTTATACTGGAACTGCAACTCTAGCTATATTAAATATCACTTTTGAAAGCCACAGTGCCAACAAGCCTGGATGAAGCAAGATTGAAGAAAGCTGCTTGAGAAATGACAAGATGATATCCTAGTATTATTTTTAATCAAAATGTTAAATTTAGTCTTTTACTTTAGCATTAATTTTGTTAGTTTAACAATTGTATCAAGCAAACAGTGAATGAGATTTTCTTGATGAAATCCTTTGCAAAGCTTCCCTTAGATTTTTTTGATTGAGTATATAACAAGAGCAATATTGAAAGCAGAGAAGAAATGCAGGACACAATTCTGGAGATTGAAACCAGCTAGAATAATGTTTCTAAGTTCTAGAACAGTGATGGTGAACCTTTTAGACACCAAGTGCCCAAACTGCATGCACACGCATGCCCAAACTGAAAGGTGTGCACACAGATGAACATGCACATGTGCAGACATGCACACACATGCACGGATATGCATGCATGCGCAGCAGAGACCCAAAGACCAGGTGGCAGGTGCAAGGCGGGGCATCCCAACACCGGCAGCGCGGCAAGAAGTAAGATCTTTTTCTTTCGTGAGCTTTTGTTTCATCATTTGCAGGGAAACAGAAGCTCATGAAAGAAACACCACAAAGATTGACCTGGGGCAATGGCGCACGTGCCAGTAGAGAGGGCTCTGCGTGCCACTTCTGCCACACATGCCATAGGTTCACCATCACAGTTCTAGGATCCTTGGTTTTCACTGACCATGTTGCCTAGTTGGTAATGAAACGTCTGCAAAAAAACACCAAACTCAGAGAGCACCAAGGACCCCACAGTTCAACCCTGAACTACGAATACTCTATAGTACTTACTAAACCATGAAACAGACAGAAGTTCATACAATTTCCAAGTATGGCACAGGTTTCCTGAAATATCTCCCCTATGCTGTCACATTATTCTACTCCATTCACTCATATTTCTAAAGATTCTGAGCAATTGTTTTGGCAATTCAGTGTATAGATAAAAACTACCTAAGCAAGTGACCTTTCACATAGGACTATTCCAAACACAAGTCTCACCAAGCAATAACAGTAAATGGAAAAATAAAGGTAGAGGGATTGTTTCTTGCCATATCCCTTAGGATTTCAAACCCATCTTAGCCATCATTTGTTCGTATACAGTCCATGCCATTGCTGCCATCAGTGTGCGCCGCAAAGCTCGTGGAACAGAACCATGGAAAAATCCAGCCAGTCCATAATTCTGTAGGAAAAGAAATAACCATCATCATCTTCTTAAGCATCAGTTCTGGACGATAATTATTAAAGATTAATCTTTAACCAAAGATGGAAATAGAAACTACTAACTAAAGAAGTCACTTGGTCACCCAGTAATAGAATGAGTTAACAATATTTATTTATTTATTTTTTTGGCATCCATCTTGCCACATATGTCAAAACTATGTATCTATTTCTTCTAAGAGAATGCAACCTCATCCAAAACTAATACATTGCCCATTCCAAGTATCACACCACCACCCCCAACCTAGTATCAAGATAACATTTTAGAACAGAGGTCTGAAACCTTAAACACTCAAAAAGTCATTTGGACCCATTTCCCACAGAAAATAAAGCCAATGATTTAACAACCAGTGTGACTGGGTGGGCATGGCCAACTCACTATCACTCACTCCCACCCAGTCACATGCTTACCCAGCTGGTCATTAGGACAGAGAATTGGTTGCTAAATTATTTGCCCTGCCTGGCCCTGCCTCATCCCTCCCCTCCCAGCTACCACTTGCCACATTCAGCCTTGGTTGTGTTGTTCACCTTTTTCTTTCTCTCTCTATGTCTCTTTCTCTGTCTCTGTCTCTCTCTGTCTCTCTATCTCTCTTTCTCTCCCTCTCTCTGTGTCTCTGTCTGTCTCTGTCAGTCTGTCTGTGTGTGTGTGTGTGTGTGTGTGTCTCTCTCTCTCTCTGTCTCTCTCTCTGTGTGTGGTGTCTCTGTCATTCTCTCTCTGTCTGTCTCTCTTTCTCTCTCTCTGTCTCTTCTCCCTGTCTCTCTGTCTGTGTGTGTCCTTCTTATTCTGATTCTCCAGCACCTCATCTCTGGGTCTCGCTGCCCGACTGCAGCAGGAAATGCTGGATACGCCTCGGTCGCTTAAGGAGATGCGTGACCTGATCTCTTCCCTGAGACATTGGCCTGACCCACGTCACGGCTGACAATGCTGCTGTTGCCAGGGGCAAATGGGGCAGGGTTGCCTTGTGGTTCTGCATTGTAATGGGTTCCAGGAGGAGGGGACCCTGTCTCCCCCATTATGAAGAGCTGTTGTGGCCTGCCAGCGGCCTGCACAGATCGTAACTGATCCCGACGAGGCTGGTGTGGTGTCGCGCCAGCAGCCTGCGCAGCTGGCGCAAGCGTCGGACAGCGAGGAGGTCAAAGAGGATGTGATGCCAGAGGCAGAGACTCAGCCAGGGCCTTCAGAACCTCCAGAGGCTCCTTCCAATGGAGAGAGAGAAGTGGAGGAGCCTCTCCTCAATGCTCGGGCACACAGGGCTGCCAAAAGGCAGGAGTGGCTACTCAGGGGAAGGAGGTCTACTCGAGAGTAGGTCTTGAGGATAATTGGTCACTCCCTTAGCCTATTTAAGTCGTATGCAGCTAGTGCTTTCCTGCTAGAAACAACGTCTCATTACTACAGAGCATCTTGGAGAGCGAGCGACTTTTCATATCTGGTTTTCTGGACTGGTCGCCAACCTGTCAGACTTTGTTCATAATAACTTTGATAAGGACCCTTTGCACGGGAAGCCTACATTCTTGAAAGGGGTTCATTTGGAATTAAACAGTGTTTGCGAAGCTTGGTGTGTCACATTCTTTGGGAATCTGAAGCTGGGGCAGAACAAGAGCACTAAATTTCACTGTGCTGTGCAAGGCGCTATGAGAGCAGTGAGCAGGCCATAAAGGCAGCAACAGCAGTGGCATCGGCCTCAGTTGGGTTGGACCAGTGTCTCTGGGAGGAGAGCAGGTCACGCATCTCCCCGAGTGACCGAGACATGCCCAGCACCAACAAGGGCCAGAAGAAGTACCCGTGAGACCCAGCAAGACATGAGGCACCGGAGAATCAGCCCTGGCCGCTTCTCTTCTCAGCAGAGGGATGAAAGAGGGAGCCACAGCAGAGGGATAAAAGAGCCACATGTGGCTCCGGAGCTGCAGGTTGCAGACACCCGTTTTAGAATATACTTGGATTCTATTCTGCCCCAGCTGCACAGGCCGCGTACTGGCCACAACAGATTCTCCTGATTGACATACTACAAAGAACTGTCACTAGCATATTGATTAGCTCTCAAATTCCTAACGACCACCACCCAAACTCTACCCTGACTTCACTGAGATATGAAAAGCATTAGAGATAAAGATATTAATACAAGATAAACACGAGTTAAGCTTCCTCTGTTTCTCTTCCACAAGAGATCATTTATCAATAAACCATGGGTGCTCTGTCCCAAAAATCAGAATGAAGAGAGTTTAAATAATGTATGTCTTGTAATTATAAATTAAATAATTTATGTCCTATAACCATTACCTGGGATCAAATGGTGCTCTAGTTGTTTTGGGTTTGCACCTAAGATGCCTATTACTATTGGTACTATTTTTGATTTCTTTTGCCATGGTTATTCTACTTTTATTTGCAGATCTTTGTATTTTGTGATTTCCTCCAGTTTTTTTGTTTTTTGTTCTGCTGTCTCCATGTCCACTATCCAGACTTTTTTTGTCTGTCTTATCAAAATTGTTAAGTCTGGGCTGCTGTGTGGCAGATGCTTTTCTGTTCTAAAGTTCCGGCTTCTTCATTTTCTATTACTTTGTCCATTTTTGTGATTCCATCAGTTCTTGCTTATAGAAAATGGTATTTCTTGCCAAAATTCCAATGCATCATTGTTGCTACTATGTCCTGTTGGTGTTTGTAGTCCATCTGTGCCATTTTCTTGCAGCAGCTAACAAGGTGGTCCACTGTTTCTTCAGCTTCTTAGCAGAGGTAGCATTTGCTGTCTGTTTCTGTCTTCTTGATTCTGGTTTTATATGCATTTCATTTTAAGGCTTAGTATTGGGTAGTCAGATTCTGTCTTTCTTCAACTTTTCTGCTCTTAACCCTTGCCAGGTCTTGGGCTGTGTACTTTGCTTGCTTTTTTTTAATACTGGCAATATGGAGTCCTTGGAGTTATCTCAGTGGTGAAATCTGAACCAGTTTGCTACCGGTTCGCTGGCTGCGCATGCGCACTGTGCGCCAAGCACGTGCTGTGCACGTGCACCAAATGTGCATTGGACACACATGTGCAGTGCATACCAAACATTTAAAAAGCTACCAGTTCGGTCTTGCTGCGCACGCATGCATGCACAGTAGACACCAAAAGGAGCTTGGGAAGGTAAGTAGAACAGTGGGGGGGAGGGGAATCAGCTGTGCCACACAGTTTAGCTTTGGTAGAAAGCAGGATTTCCTGCTTTCTAGCAAAACTAAACCACGCGGCACAGCTGATCGTCGGATCGTAGCTTTTTTTAACTACCGATTTGACCGAACTACTGATTTGACCGAACCGGTAGCTAACTACCGGTTCAACCAAACAGGTAGCTTTTTTTTTTTCTACCAGTTTGTTTTTATCACACTACCGCTTCGCCCGAATCTGAGCTTGGAGACAGGCAAAAGATTAGCAAAACACATTTATGAATACCAACTAGCAATCAGAAGACACAAAGAAAACTCCTTAATTTTACAACACACAAAGTTAACTAAAGTTTCAACTGGGAAATTATGAATATCCTAGATCAAACTAAATTCAAAAATGCTAGGGAATTCCTGGAAGCTTAGCATTAACACAAATCAGCCATCAACAGGCTCATAGCATTTATACATCATTCAAAAGACAATGAAAAGTGGGGGGGTGGGGAATTAGAATACCTCCTTGCCAGGAATTAATACCAGATAATCAGCATCAACACTGAATAACCAGTAAACCAGTGGTGAAATGTAAAATTTGTTACTACCAGTCCTATGGACGTGGCTTGGGGGTGGGGTTTAATGTAACTGGGTGGGCATGGCCAACTTTTTTATTTATTTATTTTTAAAAGCAACCTTAAGAGGTTGCAGAAAAAAATGCTTTTAAAAGCCTCTGATGATCAGGCAACTCAGCTGGGATCGTCAGAGGCTTTTGAAGGCTTTTTTTTCTACAACCTCTTTGGCCAAAGAGGTTGTAGAAAAAATGCTTTTAAAAGCCTCTGACGATCCCAACTGAGCTGTGCGATCATCAGAGGCTTTTTTTTTTACTTTTAAAAGCATTTTTTTGGCCGAAGAGGTTGTAGAAAAATGCTTTTAAAAGTTAAAAAAAAAGCCTCTGATGATCGTGCGGCTCAGCCACTGCCATCGCTACCGGATCAGGTGATCATTTCACCCCTGCAGTAAATAATATCCCAATAAGGAATTACCAACTCAGACAAACAATCAAGCAGTGAATAAAGTCTAATTAAGGAACAACCAAGGAGAAAACACCACCCCCACCAACACTGATGGGGCAAAATACTGTATACAACAAATACAGCAAGATAATATAAATAAATGGAGAACAAACCCCATTCCCTTCTAGCAGTGGAGATGTTATCTAGCCTGATAATGAAACATCTGCATTAAAATAATCTCAGAAAGCTCCAAAGACTTCACAATTCAATCCTGACAAAGATATATATATATTCTCTTTTATTGTACTGGCCGTGTTATATTTTGCCTTGCCATGCCTCTTTTCTATTCTTCATTTGGTTTTTCTTTTCTTTTTTTAATAAGTTTATTTTTATTTTTAAACAAACAATTCATCATTAATTAATCAGTGTAACATCTGGGCACAAAATATTTTGTACATTTACAACATTTATCATCATTTTCTTAGTACATATTTATCTTTCTTCTTACATTTCAATTTAATATATTACAACATATTTTCCCATGTTTCTTATTTTTACATTGTCTATTGTCTATATTCAATCTCTATGCATTAGTAAAATTGTCCCCATATGTTGTAATACTCTGATTCTTCCTTCCCTCTAATTGCTAATGTTAATCTACTCATTTCTGCACATTCTAATATTTTCTTTTTTTTTTATTGAAAAAGTTTTCAAATACAAGTTTTCCCCCCTTTCCCCCCTTCTTCCCTAACCCCCCCTCACCACCCATCCCCCCCTGTGACTTCTTCTTCACAACAATAAGCTAATTCATAATTACATAAT